GCTCGCTACTCTTCGACTATATATTTTTCGCCGGCGGGTTCAGTCCTTCCGCGTCAAATTGGTTGACTTCATGCTAAATTTCACGATATGCACCACATTTGGAACACTGCGGCCAAAAAAACAGCCCACAATATCACTGACCATTTGTATCCATATTGCCCCTCCTGTACCGGAAACTCGCTGCAGCTAAAATGACGACGAAAATTCAAAGCTGCTCTCAACTGCCATTGCACGCAAAAATTTGAATTTTTGAATCCACTCATGCACGACTGCCAATTACTTCTGGGAAACAGCCACGGATCAGCAAACACGGGCTGATTATATCATAAGCTCAAATCGAAAAATTTATAAAATAAAAGCAATCTCTTAACGAAAAGGATATAGTTTAAAGCAGAAACTGAAATAGCTGCAAACTGACTTTTGCAAAAATGTTTTACTACCGAAGTTAAGAATAGCAAGTATTCGTGAATTTGAACGAATTTAATTAGTCTGTCAGCTAGTTCTTTTCTTCAGTAGTCTGCGCAACTAAATGAGCGATTTTCTTGGCTTCCTTCTTTCTTCGGTTTCGCCTTGCTTGTTTCGAAAGTTCTTCTGTAAAATTTTAGACTACATCACTATACGTTCGTTAACAAACTCATACGTATTTCAGCTGCGCCCACCGGTTTTGCTTCATCTTTCTGCAGCTTGCCACGACGTGAAGGCGGAACATATATGCCATTTTTAGTTCCCGAAAATAATTTAAATTATAACTTTGCTCTAACAACAAATCTGTTAGCATCTGAAACAGTGGTGAATACATGAGTGTTCATGATGTGCACTAAAATTACAGATATCTGCATTTCACCAATTCAATCTCAGCATCGACCTCGGGGGGCAGGGACAATATCCAAAGTAAAAGATCATAAGCCAGGGAAAAATGCAGCGGAATAAAGATTTCAGTTGTGATAATCTGCCGAAAACCCGCTATTGTACAAAAAAGGAGAGAGAAAAACTGCCATTGCGAGCTTTGATCCTAGAAGAAATAATCTCAGCGTATCGCTAAGTGAGAGAGTAGAATATGAAGATTCACCGGCTGCACTAATGGAAATCGACGCAGAAGATTTAGACAAGCCATACAAACCAACGCAGATGAACATCATTTGGACTACTTACCTGGCCAAAACAAAGAATTGGCGAAAAAGCAGTTAAAATTCATAAACTATCTATCATTTGCACACATTTCAAATTTGCAAACGTATGGCGCTCCTGTGGACTCGACTCCTGTTAATTTTATTTCGGCTTATTACCTTGATGTGAAAGGCCTTAAGGTTATTAGCGACGGGGAATAAGTGATGAACTGGTAAGAAACATAATACTAGTACTGGTGCAAACTTTCCTTGAACCTTATGGACTGGGGCAGATAATATGCTCCGGATGTTCAAATTATAGCGTTAGATGAGAACTGAAAAATTCGATCGAAATTTGTCACTATGTTAAGATCGTTTGTTGTGAACAATCAATTCCGAAACAGACTGCTGCAAAATGAATGAATCGAATCTAGATCTTGGTAACGTGGATCGTCTAAATTTCTGAAAGGACACCCATGATTTACCTGGAACACTAGTAGATGAAACCGATGCCTGATGTGCGCTGGCAGCAACGCATGCTTCAGGAATCGCAGGCACGGTGTACTCCTCACCAGGAGTATGCAAAAACTGAAGGTCGTAAATTTCTTCGCCAACAGGGCATTTGTACTCATAGACAGTTCTGCCAGATATGTGCCATATTTTATACCTGTAAAGAGCAACCTTAATATTCTAATAAACATACTTGATAATGCCTACCCGTTGTTGACACGTAAGCGGGGTGTAGTTGTCGCCGTCACAAAATGTTGGCCGTCAGCGAACCAGTGGAACAGCGTTGTGTCTTCCGCGATAAACTTGCATATCGCTTTCTTGTCTTTCAGAGCCCATATCTCGACGTTTCCGCGTATGTTGCCAAAGCCGCCAAAGCAAAGAAGTACGAGAAAGTTAAGGAATGAACAGGAAATAAATTCGTAAATAAGCAGTATAATGTTATGAACAGCAAACACATCTTCGAGAGTCCATTAAGTACGCTGAAACTAGCAGACTCAGATAAACTTTGGCACAAAAGACTATTCATTCGTATCCAGGAAACTTACGAGGAAACTATAGCTACTAGTGATGAATAGGTTCGCAGAAATAAAGAAGAGAATATGAACCAGAAGAACGGTGGCGCTGAAAAAAGAATAGTTTTCAAAGCTGTCAGTGATACAGTAAAATTCAGACCCTAGGTGCTAATCGATTTTAACCGTTTAAACAATTTCAGAGAAGTACAGCAACAGCATAAAAAATTTAGAACTTCAGAAAATATAACGCCCTCTCTGAAATTGGCTAAATCACTGCAGATTATGTGTCAAACAAATCTAGTTATCAAATGGGCCTATGGAAAAGAAAACATTACCCATTGAACCGAACCATGAACCAAATGCTAACTAAAATTGCAACTAAAGTAATAAACTTCTTATTATCGCAAAGCACTGGACTGCATTCAACTGAGTGTGCAGAAAGAATACTGTAGGTGTGAATATCTTCATAAGTGGAGCATTAAGAATTCGTCGAACAGCGAATGATACGTGAGGTGCAAACAATAGCATAAATCACAAATTTCTGACGCATTTAAGGCTGCTGTCGGAAAATATGACCTTATTTTGATTACTGACAGTGGGTGGTATTCCGAGGAAGCAGCTATAGTTCCGAGACTTCACAACCATCATGTAATACAAAAGGAAAAAATATATTAATACAACAGTTGAAATACATAAAATATACGAGTCGATATCTACCATTATCAGTTGCGATATGACAATGCAACGTCGTGCGTAGCGAAACGCGTTGACAATAAAGTGTTAACATTTACTTTACCATGAACTGGCAAACCATCTACAATTTCAGCAGTGAGACTAGAATCAGAAATACTATATCATACCATATAGTTTTACAAACACAGCTGTTTATTTCAAGCGCTCTGCTTGTAGAGACAAATTCGTTTAAGGCTTGGTAACGTACGGCTTTCCCATGAAACGACTAGTTGAATTGAAATTGAACGTCAGATCTTGCATGAAGTAAATGTGAATAACTCTAGTAGTTAAATTCTATTTAGCTTCAGATAATGCACTCACCTAAATAACGCCAGAGCTGAAAAACAGTACAGAAACAGCCTTGTATGACAGAAACAGTCAAGTCACAAATATATTATACATCTGCCAATTCTGTAATGTGGGTCTGGTACAGGTCTAAGGGAACCACTGGTTTTTAAAACCATGCAAACCTACCTTTGTATGTAGTTTACAAAAACAGCAGAATCACTAGAGTCTGTCAAATAAAACTAAACTGATATTTTCAGTTCAACGTAATGAAGTTGCGTTTGAGACGGTAACAGTTAAACGAATAAATTCGGTATATGCCATTATAAAAGCTGCTATTACAAGCGTGTTACTAATTTGTAAAAGGATATTATTGCCGAACGGGTTGAAATAGACTAAATTCTTTGGACCAGGCCCAAAATCGTACAGCATCTCCGCATTAAGGTTAAGCAGTGCGGCTTTTGGTGGCATAACTATAAGTATTTCCTTACTAAAACCGAATAGTATCTATCGACAGCCCTTACATCCGTAGACTACACAGAACAACTGAGAATTTGGATGCCAGTCGATCGAGTATATCGGGCCATCCTTGTTCAACGGCACCATGCAGCCCTCGCCATTTGTACGAAGTAGGTAAAGGTTTTCCTTGCCGTAATACGAAGTCCCCTGAGCATCTACATCAACGACCGCCATGACGAGTACCGCAGAACCTGAAAACCCGAAAATAGAGCATTCTGCGCTTGCGAAGATAGATATACTGAAAACACAGCATAATGTAGCGACCTATCAGGGATAGATACTACAATCGATGCTTCACATATTCTAACCCCCTCTGGCACAGAAAACTGTGATTCTATTTGAAACGGAATGTAAATCTCAAAGTTCGACTATCGCTATATCAAAGAGCTCCAACTTTTGCGGCTGAATCAAGATTGCCGTTTGGAGTAGATCGTGGATAAAAGATATATTCAGCGTCGACGACAGCAAACGAACATTATAGAACGCGATGAGCGTAGCTAATGAAGAGCTAATATGAGAAGGCCGACTATTATGCATCAATAAAGAATCAAGAACCATCGAATTGCCTATAACGTGCTGCAGTAAAATCTGTGAAAAACTGATGTCAGTACGACAGTAAAATTTCATGTCTGAAGGATGTTCGACCAATACTCGAGTATGCTGCAGCAACATGGACCATTACTAAGAAAGAAACCAGTGCTGGAAAAGTCCAAGTGGCAGGTCAAAGAACTCATGGCTAGATAGTATCAGGAAATGAACTGACTACAACGGACTTCGGCCTTGTACTTATCTACAAAATGTAAAACCAAACCTGACACGGATTGGCTTGCAATCATATCAGATATTACACAGAACTGGAAGCAATAACAAATGGTGACCAGGAGTGCGAGATTATCATAACTCTATTACATCTGATACATTAAGTGTCACCAATCGAATGCATAATAGCAGAGTTTTCATGGACAAGTAAAAATATTCTGCATCGCGTTGCGTTAAAAAAACATTTCGCTGTACTTTGAACAGCAACATTGTGTCACAGGACAGCATTTTAGACGCACATACCCTTTCGATTCCAGTGCATTTTTGCATGGTCTGCCTGAAAAAATGACCTGCTTGCTATAATATTGCTGACAGGTTCCGTCAGGCCGCAGGCATACATTCTGGCCGATGCCGGGCGCGCCTAAATATCTAAACGTGATTATCGAAGACCATATGAGTTGAATTTACATACACTGCTAGCAGGTATGTAGCACACAATGTGATACGGAGGTTGGCCCGGTGACAAGCTGAAGTCAGACATCGTCTTCAATACAAGTTTCTGCTTGTATCTGCCTGAACGTTTCAACGTTTACATACGAACACGAAAAAAGTTGTTCTACCCAAATCATTGCCATCGTAAAAACAAAGTTCCGACGTCTTCATAAGCAGAAACATCGACTCATCTTCAGACCAGGCCCTGTAAAAAGAAATCTGCCATGAATATTACGTGTTTGTGAATAAAACAATTTTCAAACCAGTAATTTTCACGCGTGCTTATGAACTGGGAGACTTTTTCGCCCGTGTCGACGTTGAACACGTGCAAATTCGGCTCTGGAGTTGTCTTCTGCAATCCGTAAACAGCGTACTGGCGCCATGTGCACAACAACCTGCGTCCCGGCACGAAGGAAATGTGTTCGCAGTTCGGCGCAGGAAACTTACTCACTGCCTGCCAAGTCTCGGTGGAAAAAACCACGCAACTAAATCACGTTTATTGCATCAATTCGACACGATGGGTAGATGGGTTGTAATGTTATATCGTACGTGCCAGATTCGAGTTTCAAGCGTGGCGTAAAGTTGTTTGAATCAAAACTGCGAATTATCATGAGCTAAGAATCCCGCCCACTACGATGCAGTACAGTCAGCCAAAAATGGTTATCAAGACGATGACTTGCGAATAATAAACACGGTATGATGCTTTGGTACGGTCATGCCAGAGCGTAAGAGACAAACGACTATGCTGATTGACGCGTGGGCTTAACAGGCTAAAAGTTGCCTAGACCCGCCTGATAAATGACTAATGATCAAAGCAATGAATAACCGGTAAACAAAATTAATTAAATAGAATGTAAGTGATCCTAACAATTCGATATGACGCAAGTTCCTCTCACCGTGAAAGAATTTATGATGAAACGCGCAAATATTTTATGCATCATGTCCGATAAACAGTCAGTTTCGATTACCGCTTATCCTTTCGCACTTCAGAGGCAGACGCGTCAGACAGTGTCACCAACTTCTCGATCCTGCGCCAGCGTCTGAGTTTCTGCAGAAAAAAACCTGAGTGTGGAGCGTAGTTGTGAGGCATTTTCCCCGTCTATGGGGCATATGGCGGGGACTTTAATAAACACTTATTCAAGAAATCGAAAAATTGAAATAGACAGACAGACATGATTTATAAGTTATCACTATAACACATAGAGCTGCATTTATTCATTTAAACAATACTATCACATAGGCTATTCAAACGGGGTCCGTATAAGGGACTATAACCAAACCTAATAAATAGCGATATAATTTACAAGATGAATACAGAAAAGAAGAAACGTCATGCACCTGTCATTACCACAGTTCATAATCCTGGTCAAAGATATGAGTACCGGCTATTGAAACAAGATCGGTCATGAGTAAGTATTGATATAATCAACGAAACCGATGAGAGATTGTAAGCGGTAGACGCTAAAACGCCGTGAATTCACAGTATGTTTAAATGACCTCTTAGCCATGTAGGATCAAGTGGACAACTAAGCAGCAAGATGATGTTCATTAATATATTTCCGGTGTTTGGCCCCATTGCATCACTTTGCTGCTAAAGCAGACAAGAAGTACTGACTGTTGAAATATCACTGATAACGTATAATATACCGGTTTAGTCAGTAAATGACGAACTATGCATCGACGCATGGTAGGTGATAAATAACACAAAGTTATCGCTTGCTTAAATGGCGGCCTAGGTACTCTAAAGAATGGAAGTGGCGCAGTAACGACGTATCAGCCGATGTCATTATGCATAAACCAAAATACACATAGAGAGAAGTACCATTCAGTTCTCACACAGAAAACGTATTTTGAAACTTAAAGCGGCATCTTACAGAAAAAATATCATATTAGAGAGGACAGCAAACCAAGTTCGAGATCACACGACAGGTTGAAGTACAACAGTCCTTATGCGCTTCCACATCGGCAGCAGTGAAGCGATGCTATGAAACTCGAAACACTTCGGTCAAAAAGACAATGGAATCCGAGACTGGCAGAGCATCTCATAGCATTAAAATAATTCTGTTTAAGAGAATGTTCTATCAACTCGGAGGAAAGACCTGCAACACTGTCCGAGTAGTAACTGTTAAAACCAGCTGAAACCATTTCATCATTCGTTTACCCTTCGAGAAGAGATCGGCAATTCGTGCGTCAACGAAAGAAAGAAACGGACGATCTTCAATGATAGCAGTAAATGAGCTAGAAAGCCTTCCTTTTTATTTGAGTGGTAAAAATATAGAAAAATCACCGATAAGCACTACCCAAATTTGCCCGACGATTGAATATTTCGCTCATGCTCTTTTTAGTACCCAAATTCGTGCTTCTATGCTACCATTACTCTGAGTTGTTCGACATACGTGTAAAGGAAAGATCTAACAGAGGAAAACATTGCCGTGTATGTCTTCTTTCATGTTCATAATTTTCATGGAATGGGTCATCAGACGTAGCACAGGCATCGCAAACGTTAGAAATGTTTCATTTAATTATTTGCTGTTTGCGGGTGATATCCTCATGTTTGCTTCATCGCACGATGACTTCCAACGCGCTGCAGGTCACTTCCCTGCTACCTGCAGTTAGGCCCGAATGAAAATCAGTTCGACCAAAACCAGTGGTTTTATAGTTTCAAAGAAAATCAGGCTATTGTACAACTGATGCATGTAGAAATCCTTAGGGTATCACTGGATAACTTTCACCCGAGATGGCGCGCAGGTGATAAGATAACACAAGTCAAGCGAACGACATAATATGGCGTTGTGGCACAACGCTTAAGAAGTCTTCTAACTCCACAGATGAAGGGTTCGATTCTAGCGGAAGAGCAATCTTGTCTGAACCACGAATTTCCTTGAGCAAGGAATTTACGACAACTTGCTTTAGACCGGGGTTGCTCAGGCGGTAGAGCGTCGGACTAAGAACCGAGATGTCCCGGGCTCTTGGTTAGGGTTACTCGCCACTCATTCTGCGAGATTACACTCTGTGGGAAGGAAGCAAGAGACTCACAATTGCTTGCATTTTGCTGCTGTAAACTCTGTCATTAAAACAACATATCTTGACTGATGGCATGGAAATAAAGATCAGCGTCCTACTATTAATTTCACGAAAAGAAGGGCGTCAAAAATGGCCCCATGATAAAAGTATGAAGATCGACATTTCAATGGTCAGAAACTTTCCTTTTCGTTTGTACTGCGAGAGTTAAGTCGTTATGTTGTGATGACCGAGCGGAGCGGTAGTGTGAAGCTCTCTTCAAGTCCGCATACGCATCTGCTCTCACTTATGGTCATAAGTATGGATGCTGGATGCTGACCAAAAGAATACGATCCCGGATACAAACGGCAGAAATGCGGTTTGTTCGAAAGATTGCTAGGGTGATGAGACTCGACACAGCTCGGAACAGGACAGTCTGAGATACCTTCGATTGTGAGCAGCTCTTTCTTCAGAATGAGGGATTTTGTCTGCAATAGTTTGAACAAGTGATGGAGATGCCATAGGAAAGATTCCTGTGACGAACTCTTCTAGCAAAGCTGTGGGGAAGATGGGCCTGGGCAGACTGGGGAACAGGGAGCCAGATTCTGCTGATCCTCCGCTGAAAGTTTAGAATCCAAACAACGTGAGCGTGTCAGCTTGGCGGTGGACCAGGAATAGTGGAAAGGCCTTGTGAAATAACCATCGGAATCCAAGAGTTCTAACGGTCACTGATAATAAATGACTATCCGAATTAGTATCGCTACATGACAGAAATGAGCTAAGTTTAGCATTAAAAGTTTATTTATTTATTACAGCAAGCCGAAAGTACTACGGAATCGCAAACTGAAATCAACTTTAAGAAAGTACTCGTAGTGCAACATTAACATCTTTCGTTTCTGCACTATTGCGGCTTTGGTGTAGGCAGCGACGCGGTTAAAAACAAACTTTTCTGGTTTAGATTAGCAGCGAATCAATTTCACTCTACATTGGATAAATGGATAAATTAACGTTCTGTAACAAAATATATATAAATAACCAACGAAATGTCGAAAATACAGCAAGCATTGCACTGACCTGTCACAAATACACGAGTACTTACTTAACAGCATCTGAATAGGCAAACAACGAACCGTCAGGAGTGCTTGTCATCAAGCAGTTGTGCTTTACTTTCTCGCTAAAAAGGACAAAGACAAATACCACTAACTTAACTATGGCGCTTGCTTACTATTTGACCTGGAATACAAGGTTCGGCTCCTCGAATCCGGAATAAACATAAACACCGGCAGAGTTACTAACTAAAAACGTAAATTAGCTTTAAAAAGTTATGACTTTACGACCCTACTTGCAAAGCGCTTTCCCGACATTGCTGTGCCACGTACGAATATGTGCTATGTAGCCTACAGAATACAAGCATTTACATTAAACTGCACTACATTGCACAAGAATCTTGAAACGCCACATTACAGTATATAGTGATAATAGCTAATACTTTAGCTAAATGCTAATACCATGCATGATATGCTATAGTTAAACCCCGTTTAACGGATCAATGAAAATGGAAGGTTAGTGGGTTTTGAAATTTTATAAATTAGGAAAATTCTTATTGCGGTTCATGCTCTTTAACTTAGACTGCTTATCTTTACTGTCCTTTATATTTAACACTTCTGTTTTAAACAGATGAATTAAATACAATTCACTGTAGTAGATGTGCTTCAAAGAAACTTTCAATGCGATCTAGGCATTGGTTCATGAAGAAAGTTTGCAAGTATTAGGTTTTTTGAGGTTTCTGATTCTGCGTACTTTGCTATGTAGATTGATGCTGGACGATTAACGGTTCAGGGGCACTAAATGAAGCAAATATTAAAATCTTCATTACAACGCGTTTCACTACATAGCCCGTAACGTCATCAAGGGTGGACTGAATACAGATAGCTGTTTGAAGATACTTATATTATTGCGAACATCACTATATTTAACGATGGGCCCGTACTTAAAAAAAATTCAGTTGCTAAAGCGCTTGACAAAACGTAAACAAAAAAAACGAAATATTAAGTTTACATTAAAAATGCAACCTGATCCTTATTAAGTTGACCCGATCTTGCATATCAAATTCGTGATTACATCTTAAAATTCTCTAATAATCACGGAAGACACGTATTTGTAGCAAACACGGTGTTTCCTGCCAGTATATGCAAGGACTCCTGTATCACTAGACCTATTTTACAATGGCCTTTGTCAATGATCGACACATTTGCCTAAATGAAAGAGTGCCTTCAGACAGGGCATGTTGGGGAAGCATGGAATTGTCAGACTGCCCGAATCGGACCGTAGATATAACTCTTTGACCTGGATGTTCAACTTCAGGTTGGTTTTCTCAATGTACACCTTATCGCAGTTTCCACATTGGAATCTGTATACAACATTTAATGCTTCTTCTGGGTTAGTGACACGTATTTCTTGAATAAATGTTGTCGAATGTTCTGTCAGTTTTGTAGCAGACCTTAAGCCCGATGTCATTAAGGTACCTTTTCATGCGTTGAGATACCTGAGTAATAAACCATACTTTACTGTTGATGTACGCGGAAAAGGCATTTTTGGGTTCAAACTAGGGTGCAAAAGTTAATCGTCAATTATTTTCCTTTGCCAACCATCTTCTAGGAACGCTTGGTATAGGTTTTGAATTTCAGCGTCTAGACAAGAAATGACTGAACGGGCTTCCAGGGCACTTAGGTTCAATTCCTCCCAACGTTCGTGAGCAAACTAAAAAGAGCACATGACGTCGGGTGTTGGCATCGAATGGAGTGGGTTGGTTTTTTTCATCTTTCGTTATCGCTTCTCCTTCCGTATCTCGGAGCAGACGCGTCGGACAATGCTTCAACTTACCCGATCCTGTGCTAGAGTCATAGCATCGGCAGAACAATCGGAGTCTACAACAGACCCTTTTCATGCATTTGCACTCGGCTAATTTTGACCGACTCCTGGGACTTCTGGTGGCCGGCTGGGCAAGCAATAGTTGTTCGTTTTCCTTTCCGGAGGCATTCGCAAGAGGTGCCCAAACCATCGCAAACATGCTTTGCAACCTGAAGAAACAACGGCTGTACATCAAGGCTTTTCTCGTAGACATTTCTCAGGAGGATCAGTAAGATAATTGGAGCACTCCCGATGATCTTCCTTTTTGAACAGGTACCCCTTTTCTTTGGTCTACTGATGTGTTTCCCA